AAACCCGCGGGGCTGGGGCCGGACGGATCGTAAAAGACGGGGGGGGAGGAGTTGAAGTCGGCACTTCCATTGCTTTGCTCGCTGATTGGGCTGGTGGGCGGGCTCTGCCGGGGTGTAAATCCCGGCTCCTCAGTGAGCCCTCTCAGAGCGACGGCAGAAGAGCAGAAGGTTGGGTGTCAGTGCGCGGGCTGACTCGGTGCATCCGTGGGGCAGGTACGGCCCGTCCTTGGGCGCCGCTGGGCCCCGGTCGCTCGTTGGGGGCTGTGGGGAAGGGCTCCCGTCGGGCTGGGGCTCCCCGTGCGCCCCCGCCATCGCCCGCCTCCCTCCGGGGCCGGGGAGGCAGCGGCCGGTGGTGGCCTCCCCCTGCCCGCTGTGCCCTGGGCGGGTTTTGGGGTCTGCGGGGTCCGGAGGTGCCCTTGGGGTCAGCTGTGTCCAGCTGCGGGGGGGCCCTGGCCCCAACTTCTGTAGGGCTCCGCTGCTGCCCGAATACCGCCCCTCCCCGTCTGAGCTCGGGCTCCGCCGCTGCCTCTGGCCCCGGGGCTCCCTCGGGCTGCGCTGGGTTCCTGGGAGGGTCTGATCCCACCCGGGCTTCGATGGGGCGGGGGGGGATCAGCTCCAGGACCCCCCTGCACAGTCCCCGTCTCGGTGCGGGCCCTGGAGCTTCTATCCCCCGACTCGAGGAGGTGTTGCGCGGAGGAGATGGTTCAGTATTTGCTGTCAGGGAGCCGAATGCTCATTCAGAATCTCATTCATTATTTGTTTGCCGTGGCCGGAGGTGCCGGTCTGGGGGAGCTGCTTTGCCCGGCCCTTGGCCGAGCTCTGGAGGGAGCAGCCCGGTGCCCTTGTGCAGACGGAGCCTCTCTGCCCGCTCTCCTGGGCCGGGCGGTGGCATTTCCTGCTCTAACAACCAAGGTAACTGTTCTTTGCCCCACTGGAGGGTTGGAAGTAGAAGAGCATTGAGGGGTCACTGCTGTGGCGAAGAGCAGACAGCTCATTGGGGGAAGCAGCTGCTCCAGCACCAAAGCCACAGCTTAAAAGAAGGCTTCTGGGTTGTCATTTTGGCCGAACTGGCCCATGAAAATATGACAGATGCTCTCCCCCACCTCTTACTCCAAGGAGAGGAGGAGGAGGAGAGAGAGAGAGATTTACGAGTTGAGAACAAACGAAATTGCTTTAATAAATTAAAATAGAAATAACAAAATAGATTCAATATATACAAAGTTGTATCAAGGTCCCAGGATGAAGGCACTGGCAGCACTCGGGAAGTCCCAGACTGGACTCAGCCATGGACAGGAACTAGATACCCAGTCTGGAGTCAGGAACACAGGGATGGGGATCAAGAGCAGACAAACAGACAGGGTCCTCCGCAAATATCAGCCATGGAAGAAAGAGCTGACCCTTTGATCCCTCAGCTTTTACACTCAGCATGGGGCAGATGGGATGGTGCCACAGCAGCGACCCCTCTACGCTCTTCTGCTTCCCACCCTCCAGCGGGGAAAACAACAGTTACCTTGGTTGTTAGAGCAGTGAACACAAGGAAGAGCCTCTCTGCAGCCCATCCCTTGGCAGGAACTAACAACATTGATCTAATCGCTCTAAGTATTAACAGGATTTTCTTACAAAATATGCTGGTAATTTCCAAAAGCAGAAGAGGATAAGCTAAGAAATAAAATGACTGAAGAGAAAGTTGGTTCTGTTCTACCTCACACTAGGACAATATGACTTGTGGCACAAACAAGAAGACTTCTGGGATGGTCCCAGAGAGAAGGAAAGAGAAACCAGTTCCATGGTTGAGGTCCCAGCCCAGGCAGGCACATGGCAGCTCCCACCACAGCTCCTGACCTGCAGATTCATCTCCTGAGAGCTGGCAGCGAGTTTCTGCTGAGACCAGGAGCAACCAGAGCAGCAGCAGAGGGAAGGACATCCCTGCACCACTCTGTGCTGCTGGAAGAGGGGAAGCTGTGAGTCCCCACCATGGAGAAGGGCCTTTCTCCACCACTTCTGTCAAGTGGTTCTCACTGGAGCATAGGTTTGCTGCAGAGATAAGGCCGTGGCTGGGAGCAGCCAGCACCCCAGAAATCACGGTCATTGAGGAACAGACAAGGTTCTTCGCCCACCACTGGGATCCTGCAACAAGCAGCACAGACACCACTGGTACCATGGGGGTCAGGGTTGTCCCCTCAAGACACCAGGAGGAGACAAGGGCTGCCTGCAAGGGACAGCCCCAGCAGACACCTCCCACCAGGACGCTGCCCATCCCACCACAGGACGGTCTCCCCACGCCCCCGGCTCCCAACAGGACTCACGTCTGGTTGAAGCTGCTGCCGTCCACCCACTCCAGGTGCTCGCCCCGTCTCTGCAGCCCAATCCAGTAATCGATGTTGCCCCTTAGGTGCGAGAGGAAGTCCTGGGCAGGAAAGAGAGGAGCCAAGTCAGGCAATGCTGATGGCCTCACACCAGTCCGTGTCCCAGCCCTATGCCTACACAGCTTCCAACCAGCACTGAGATGGCAGCAGCTCCCACCCCACACCTGCTCCAACAAGCTCCAGAGCTGCTGCAGGAGATCACCAGCCCACACAGTGCTCCTGGTCCTGCCCTGACACAGCTCTGCTCCCACCCCACACTCTGCACCCAACACAGGAACCCTCCCACACCCACAACAGCCCCTCACTCACCAGTTCCCACTCCCTCCTCAGCACGGCCAGCGAGGCCCCACGCGAGGAGCACTGCTCCTGGCTCCACTCCCAGCTCCCCTGGTCCCTCGAGAGGTAGTAGCAGACATTGTGGTACCCGACCCAGCCATCAGGACACGCCAGCACCAGAGCTGCAGCCACAGCTGGATCCCCTCCATGTCTTCCTGCTGGAGAGGGAAGGGGAAAAGGGCAGAGGATTGGGCTGTGCAAGGACCAGGGGACACAGCTCCGTGGGGCAGGGAAGGAGGCAGCCGCTCCTCCCTTACCTGAGAGCACAGCAACAGCCACGGCCAGAGCCAGGACCAGAAACAGCAGCACAGACACCACCAGGACCTGTTTCCTTCTGCCTGTAGCCCCAGGCACCTCTGGGTGGGGGGACGCTCCTCCCTCCTGGGGATTCAGGGGCTTCTCCACGGTCCCATCGCTCAAGCAGTTCCTCTCCCCCATGGTGCCCTGGGAACTGAAATCACTTTGCTCACAAGCAGCAGGATCTTGCCTGGTTCAAGCCCGGCTGGGATCCAGTTGTCCCACCGCTGCTCTCCATCCCAGCAGGGAGCAGACCCTCCCAGGAACCCAGCGCAGCGAGTGAGCCCTGGGGTCGAAGGGAGCAGGGGACCCCCGAGCTCAGAGAGGGGAATCCGGGCAGCAGCGCGGCCCTATGGGGCCCGAGCCCACCCTGATCGTGGGGTGGGAATTGGGGAGGGGGAAAACCTGGGTTCCCTCTGGCCGCGGGTTGGAATGGGGATGGGAACCAGCCCCTCTCTGGACGTGGGGAGGGTTGGGGGGACTGGAAAGAGGGGAAGAGGGGGACACACTGGGGAGCTGGGGGGCGCACGTGCCTTCTCTGGCTGCGGGAGGGGCGGGGGGTATAGGGGAACCCTCCTTACTTGCGCCCACCCAGAAGCTCGCTCCTTCCTCGCTTTGTACTAGGATGTAGGAACAAGAGTGACTCGGTTTAGAATAAAAGCATTTCATTACTCAGTGGAACCCCCTCATCTACAGCATGAGGAACCAGGAGCTCAAGGAGTCCATCATGAAATTTATTTCAGGGATGGTTCTTGATAGTGAGAAATTTCCCATCACTCTTCAGAGATGACTCTCATGGTGCCCTGCTGCAGTACTGTACTTTGTTTGCTATCTTGTGATTTTTGTTATTGTTATCTCTCTTGTTATTTCCTACATGAATGTCTGAACCCTTCTTAGTTCTCTGGAGGAACGAACCTGCTCTGTCTAACCTGAATCTCATACAAAAGTGTGTCTTTCACTGGCACAGAGCTGACACTCTCATAGTTTCTCTGAAAAGATATGGAATCATCCCAGTGCACTGATTGATGTTTGGGCTCTTCTTCCAAAGCTCATGTGTCGTGGTTTTGACCGAATTGACCAACCACAATGACAGATGGCCCCTCCCCCCCTAAGGGAAAGAGAGGAGAGGGAGAGGGGGAAAAGAAATTATGAGTTTAGAAAAAAACTAAACTACTTTAATGAAAATATAAATAAATAATGAAATAAGAAGAAGAAGAAGAAAAGGGAAAAAAAAATATGTATACAGTATATACAAAACCGTCTCAAGCTCCCAGGATGATGATGACGGCACCAGCAGGCACAGGGGAAAGCCCCAGGCTGGACTCGGTGATGGACAGGAGCCAGATTCCGGATCTGGAGTCAGGAACGCTCAGATCGGGATCAAAGGCAGACGAACAGACAGGTTCCTCCTCGGACGTCGGCCATTGCAGGAAGAGAGTTGACCCTTTGATCCCTCAGCTTTTATACTAAGCATGGGGCAGATGGGATGGAATACCCCTGTTGGTCAGGTTTGGGTCACCTGTCCTGTCCGTTCCTCCCCACAGATGTGACCCCTCTACGTTTTTCCGTTTCCGACCCTCTAAGGGGCAAATAATGAAAATTGGCTGCCCTTGGTTGTTATAGCAATAAGTATAAGCAAGGGCCTCTCTGCACACCATTCCCTGGCATGTAGCACAAACATTGGTCTTATCACTCTGAGAAGGAACAGTTTTCTCCACAATATGCCGTTAATTTCAGAGAGTTAGAAAAGGCCTAACTAAAATGCAAAGTTACAGAACACAAAATTGATCCGGTTTTACCTCAAACCAGGACACCGGGTTTAAATTCTGAGCGATGCCCAATTCACCACTATCAGCCCAGTCGCGTTGAATGAATTAAACCATCACCATTCTGGACACGCTAACAATGGACTCACCTTCAGTCTAGTCGTGAACTATCTCATGAACTAGCACAGCCACACTAGTGTTTGGTGGCGTTCAATGAGAAACGGAAACGGCTCACTACTTAAGTGTGCGGTTTATTTAAGCAGCAGATACAAAGGTTCGTATAGGTTTTCACTGATAAATATACTGTCTGCAAAGCACATGCAAGTAAAAATATTGATAATGGTAGAAAGCAATTGACCAAATTACAAACAACACAGCCTGGCTATAAACGTAACAGATAAGCCTCTAGAGAGATTAAGTTTCCCGAGGAAGCACTCAGTAGAGTCTAAGTCTTACCCACAGGCATCCCTATGGGGGGGAAGAAAGGCTCAGCCCCTCGACTGGTCCCAGGAGTCAAAGGCAGTCCATGATGGGATCCTCCCTGACTTGTTCACAATGGTATCTTCCCTAGCATCCCCCCGTTCTTGGGCTAGTTTTATACTTTTTTTTTTACTTTCAAGCTGGAGTTTGAGTGACTCTAGTCATAAATACCTTTATTATGACTGGTGTAAAATTCTCTCACCTGGCATTCAAAAGGCAGAGTTTGCAAGAAACTCAGGGCACAGACTCAAGGAGGAGTGGTCACACCTTGTAGGCAGGCAGCCTTTGGGACGGAGGTGTGTTTTGGTATTCTAATGAGCAAAGCTCACACAAAGGACAGCATTTTATCAAAGTTTGACAGACTGCTGGCTCAGGGTGTCAAGTATGCAACTTTTCAGTTCCACAGGACCATCTCGTCCCTATATATCACAGAGCTTGACTGTGGAATCTTCACTCCATCCTCTGTGCTGTTTTGTAAACAATATTGCAGGAGATGGCAGATGGAGCAGATTCCTCATGTAACAGCTGAGCTGTGTCCCACCCTGGAAACCTTTCGATTTTATACCTTTGCTTAGTGTGTGAACAATGCTACATCTTTTTAATAAAAAAAAATATATTTTCGGAATTATTCCACATCCCCACAGCCTCCCCCCAGAGAAACTGGTATGTTATGGTCTGTGGGGTGGGGGGAGAACTGGCTGACGGGCAGAAGGAAAACAGCAGCAACATCTGACCCAGGCTCTAACTCTCATGGGAGCCCCACAAAGATCACTTCACCCCCCAAGCTCTGTAGTCCTTCTGTCCTGAGCTTTGTGTACCGAGCTCGCCTGGGAGCAGCCACTCCAGCTCCATCACCACAGCTCAAAACACAGGTCTGTGTCATTTCTGAGAGAAGCAAGAAAAGCTCTGGGCTGGTCCCAAAAGGAGAAACCCACACTCTGCACAACCCAAGTTTCTGATCCAGGCAGGTGCATGTCACCTCCTGCATCTCCCATTCCCGCAGGGTCATCTCAGGAGAGCTGGCAGTGAGTTTCTGCTGACACCAGGAGGAACCGGAGCAGCAGGACATCCCCAGGAAACCAGAAGAGGTGAAGCTCTGAGTCCCTACCATGGAGAAGGTCCTTTCTCCATCACTTCTGTCACCTTGGCACTTGGGGCTTGCTGCAGACATACAGCCGGTGCTGTGAGCAGTCTGTACTCCCCAAAACATGGTTGTTCAAATACACACACTCTGCCTCGCCACGCACCTCAAACCTGCAACAAGCAGCACAGACACCACTCGTACCATGATGGCTGGCGGTTGTCCTCTCAAGCCCCAGGAGGAGACAAGGGCTGCCTGCAAGGGACAGCCCCAGCAGACACCTCCCACCAGGACCCTGCCCGTCCCACCACAGGACTCTCTCCCCACGGCCCCGGCTCCCAACAGGACTCACGTCTGGTTGAAGCTGCTGCCGTCCACCCACTCCAGGTGCTCGCCCCGTCTCCGCAGCCCAATCCAGTAATCGATGTTGCCTTTCAGGTGCAAGAGGAACCACTGGGCAAGAAAGAGAGAAGCCAACAGTCAGGGGCTGCTGCAGCCCCACACCAGTCCCCAGTCCCTTTCCCAGTCCTGGGATGGCAGCAGCTCCCACCCCACGCCTGCTCCAACAAGCTCCAGAGCTGCTGCAGGAGATCACCAGCCTGGCCAGAGCTCCTGGTCCTGCTCTGACACAGCTCTGCTCCCACCCCAGGGTCCACACCCAACACAGGAAGGCCCCCAAACCCTCACGCACCCACAACAGCCCCTCACTCACCAGTTCCCACTCCCTCCTCAGCACGGCCAGCGAGGCCCCACGCGAGGAGCACTGCTCCTGGCTCCACTCCCAGCTCCCCTGGTCCCTCGAGAGGTAGTAGCAGACATTGTGGTACCCGACCCAGCCATCAGGACACGCCAGCACTGGAGCCACAGGCACAGCTGGATCCCCTCCACATGTTCTTGCTGGAGAGGGAAGGGGAGAAGGGCTGGGAAATGGGCTCGGCAGGGACCAGGGGACACAGCTCCGTGGGGCAGGGAAGGAGGCAGCCGCTCCTCCCTTACCTGAGAGCACAGCAACAGCCACGGCCAGAGCCAGGACCAGAGCCACCAGCACAGACACCACCAGGACACACACTGGATGGACTACATACAGCTTGCCTAGAAGAGCAAGGAGTCAGTTGGTGTGAGGATGATGCTGTGATCCTCCCATTCCTACCACCCCCACCACCAACAACCCAGGGAACATGGGAGAAAGCCCCAGACCCTTTTACCCCCACACACACTCAGCTGCAGCTTCTCAGTCCCCTTCCCGGGCACAGGAACTGCCATGGGGCCATTCCCAGCTGGCAGCAAGGGACAGTCACACAGAGCAGGGACAAGGCTGTCACCCCCCACACACTGGGGGACAGCCCGCAGCAGGAGAGCTGCCAGGGAGATGGAGATGGGGGGCTGCTACAGCTCCCCCAGTGAGGAACAAGCTGAATATGAGGCCTTTTCCAGACAGCTGGAAGAAGCCTCACCCTTGCCAGCCCCAGTCCTCGTGGGGTGACACTGCCACGGGGACATGGTCCCCTCCCCATAGGCCACAGGGGGGACCCTGCACTCACCCAGGACTCCTCTGTGCATCCTTCTGCCTGTAGCCCCAGGCACCTCTTGGTGAGGGGACACCCCTTCCTCCTGGGGACTCAAGGGCTCCTCCACGCTCCCATCGCTGGAGCAGAACCCGTTCCTCTCCCCCATGGCTACCCTGGAAATTAAAATCACTTGGCTCACAACAAGCAGCACCTTGCGCCCAAGGGATCACAACTGCTACCAAAACCTGTTTCAAGCCAGGCCTGGACCCAGGTTAACCCCCCCTGCTCTGTTCATCGTGTTGGGAGGTCACAGAGAAGGGGATGGAGCAGATCCAAAAGATGAGTTCTGGGAGCTGATGGCACCAGGCCTGGCTTTAACAACTCAGCTGTGACCCCACCGTGACACCCAGAAGCCCCTGTCCCTGCTCCCCCTGGGACACTGCAGCCTGTCCCCAGCAAGGTGGGAAAGAAATGAGGCCTCAGGGAGCTCAGGGACCGCGGGCTTAGGCCGGCCGCCGCGCCCCGGCCGCCCGAGGAGCCACCAGCGCGGGGAGCACAGGGAGAGGAAGCCGTTGGAGCTTCCCCGCTACCGGCCCGGGCGGGGCACCGGGACGCACCACAGGGCAGGAGCCGCGGCGGGGGCGAGATGTGTGATCGTGCGGGAGGGAAGAGAACAGGGGGTCCCCCGCTCCTCCCTGGCCGTTGTCGGGAGGGAGAGAGGGAGAGGGAGTCCCTGGGCTCTGTCTGGGCACTCGAAGCGTTGGGGGTGAAAGTGGGGGCACTGGTGGATTGGGGGAATCAGGGGGATCCCCATCCCTCTCTGTCCGGTGCGGGAGGGGGGTTAGAATAAGGGAAGGGGGCCATCCCTACCTGCCCCAGCATAAAACCACGCTCCCGCTCCACCGCCTGCTCCCGCTCCCGCTCCCGCTCCAGCTCCAGCTCCAGCTCCAGCTCCAGCTCCAGCTCCAGCTCCAGCTCCAGCTCCAGCTCCAGCTCCAGCTGCAGCTCCAGCTCCCCCGCCGCTGCTCTGTGCGGGGGAGTCACTGAAGGAATGGCTTTTGGTGCTTCCCCGCCAGGGCAAGAGGGAGGAGCGACGGGGGAAGCAGCCAAACGAAGCGCTCCCTTTAATAAACCCCTCCCACCCCCTCCTCATCCCCACCCTTTCCACTCTGTGGGATCCACCTCCCCGGGGCAGCGCGTCCGGGCATGGGATATGGGGAGCCCCAGTCCTCCCTAGTTATCCCAGTCTTCTCTTGTCACCCAAGTCCTCTCGTCACCCCGGTCTTGCCAAGGCAGTAGGACTAATTACAACCCACACAATTAAGGGGAACTATTCTAAGTGGTGCCGTAGGAAGCGAGAGGAAGATGAGGGGGGCGCAGGAGGGGAGAGGAGAGGGAAGAGGCCGGCGGCAGTGGGTGCCGTTGCCTTTCCCGGAGCCAGGAGGCGAGGAAGAAGCTGGTGCAAAGGGAAGGAGAGAGGAGGAAGGAGGAGGCCGGAGCGGCGGGAGGCGGCGGGGACGGGAGCAGGAGAGGCGGGACTTTGGCTTTCTGAATTTGTGGGGTGAAATCAAAGCCCGGGTGGAAAAGCGAGGAGAAAGAGCAGAGGGCGGAAAGAGCAGCATCAGTGTAAGGGCCGCCGATTTGGGCTCCGGCTTCTCCCTCTGCGCCCGAGAAGAGGGGGAGGGGACGGATGGCAGACGGCAACGGACACGGGGCGCCGATGGACATCCATCCCCCAGCAGCAAAGCGCTGACTTTAAAGCCTCCTGGGCACCTGCCCCTCGGGAACGTGGGGGGCTCTGTGGGGATCGGGCCCCCGCGCGTTTTGGGCAGGCGACTGGGAAATGTTCAATTCTTACAGTCAGCAGCGTGGAAGAAGAAGAGCCGCGTGGAGAAGGGCAGAAAGACACTGCGGGGGGCAGCCGCCCCCTCCAACGCTCCCAATGCCGGGATGGAAAGTGCCCCAGGGACACCCTGGAAACCAACTCTCCAAAACCACCCAGCCCCGGCGCGGTGGCCGGAAAGACTTGGAATTTGTGCAGAGAGCACAATCCACACTGCTTTATAACCCCCAGTCTTTTTTTTTTTTTTTCCTAATTACAACTTGTGTATTGACGCTAATCAACAAATATCCCTCATCAGGAAAACCCAGCCCTGGCGATCCCTTCAGCTTCTTTTGATTTACAACCGTTCAAACAAGCGTTTTCACCTTTACTCTGTTTGTCACTTATCCCTTATATTCCATTTTAATGTTCAGAGTCCACTGGACCACACTTTTTTTCCGAGCATCCCAATCATTTCTTGAAGCAAAGAAGATACCCACAGAAGGTATTTCATCCCATTTTTCAGTTCTCCGACAAAACAACTATTGCAATGAATGTATTTGAAAGGTCCGGTTTCAGGCCAATTTTCACCCTCTTCCAATTCTTCTTGTGGCCACCACTGATTGCAATTTTGTATTAATTTATTTTTGGTCATGGCGTCCCCTCCGAACTTCTTCCAGTGGTTCAGGGTGCATCCTAGAGGGTGTCTCCTGGGAAGCAGCAGCGCCCATTTGGGTAGCCAAGAAGATCCCACACCGTCTCTACACACACTAAAAGGAGGGGCGTCTCCCGGCGTTTATCAAATGGCAGCTCCTGGGGCTGGTCTCTCCCGCCCGCTCTTGGGAGCGAACCCAACCCAACCCAAGGTGTGCACAACTCAAACAACTCAAAGGAGGGACGTTCTGCCTTCGTTTGAAAAACTCTCTCTGCTGCCCGGGAGATCTAACCCCGACCCACCTTGTCCTCATCTTCGCCAAGAAAACCCTCCTTTTCAGTCACGTCACAGCGCTGTGTCGCTCCCCGCCCGGCTGCAGGGGAGGAGCCCATGGGGCCCCCCATCAAAAAAAAAGGGGGGTGCGTGCTGGAGTCCAGTCGGGTCGCTGCTCCCCTTGGGGGGGCACTGAGACCACCCGGGCCAGGCTGTCACCGCAGTCCCACCTGGGGGGCCAGAAACTCTTGCCCCAAAGCGGGGCCGTTTCCCCGCTGTGCAGACACCAAGAGACACCCAGAGCAGAGGTTTTTTTCGCTCTTGATTTCGTTTCCGCAGAGATGGGTGGTCGGGGGGGATCCACAAAGCCAGCACCCCGCCTTCGAAACTCAGAGGGATATTCCTACCGTTCCAAGCACAGAAATACGCCCCCATAATTGTAATTATTGGTGAGTACCTTATCTTAACAATTTCTTTTGTTAGTACAGTCTCTTGCTTTCATTTCAAGCTACAAGGTCCTTTCATTGGAGGTTGGACTGGGGGGTTGGAACTCCATGATCTTTAAGGTCCCTTCCAACTCCAACCAGTCCATGATGCTATGAATCGAGGTGCCCAGGCTCCAGTACCGGGGGTGGGGGGAGCAGTGCAATTCGGTGCCCAGTTCAGTCTCCCATTGAGTTGGGGGTCGCGATCTCCCACCACCACCTTTCCCTTTGCCCCAGTTCCTGCAGATTTGGGTTGACTTGATGCCTCCCCCCAGCAGCTCTCTGGTTTTCCGTGGGTTTCGGTGCCTCCTGCGGTGGGATGTTCCTTCTTCTCAGCCTCCTGCTCTTCTTTGAGGGGCTGTTCATTAGCGGGGCATTGATTGCTTATCCCCAGGGTCTGATTTCACAGTTTCTTCGGCCACCACTGCGGGTCACTGGAACCCACACCGGGGCCTTCCTGACAGCCAGGAAGGCCCTGTCCTGCAGTGAACTGTGCATCTAAAGCCTTCATGTAACCTAAGAGATGCTGGAGTCCTCCCAAACAGTTTTAGTCAGGCAAGAGCCTGGACTTGTTCCTTGAGAAGACACAGCAGAGTCAGGGGCTCAGATGAAGGTCCCCCAAGTCCTTGTCCTGTCCACAGATGTCCCTGCCTGAGAAAGCAGATCAAAGCAGAGGGAGGGTGCCTATGGCCCCAGGAGTCCTGTTTTCCCAGCCTCAGTGGGTAATTAAAAAATTAAAAGGGTATAATTTTTACCTGAAACACATGTTCTCGAGACCAGAAGCAGTTTAGAGAGGAGATATCGCTTTATTCGACATTGGGTGCTAGGTGCCAATTCCCAAATCTAGCAGCCGTTACCGAGGACATTCTCCCGTTATTTATATACAAAGGATTTTCATTATTCCGCCTCCCTAATCCATAACTGCACCTGGGCTGACATATTAATTAGTGTGACCCGAGGGAAGGCCACTGCCCAAAGTCACTAAACCGGCTGCACGGAGGGATGGGCAATAGGCCACCAGGGGCTGGGACATAGAAGGGGGTACCAGGAGTGGTCACCACCCCATGTCACCACAAAAGCTGCCCCGAGGGCTGGCTGCTGCCTCACCCCACTAAAAGAGCTCTCCAGAGGGAGGGGGAGGTGTTGTTGTGACAAAGCGAGGTCCTTTTCCTGGTGTGCAGATAGTTCTTCTGATTTACAACCCACGCCGTTAAAGGCACGGCAGCTCCGTGGAGTTTCCCCCCAGCGCCGGCACGAAATCCCCCCAGTTCGGGGCTCTTGGGGCGCCGGGGCCGGGAAAGCGCTGCCAGCGGCGGAGGCGAGCGATCGGGGGGTTCTCCATCAGGTCCGACCCAGCACGCCCCGCTGCAGGGGGGGCACCGCCGCGGTTCCCAACCAGGTCCGCTCCACCCCCTCCGCCTCGGGGCTCCCCGTGGCCGGGAGGGGATCGGAGCGGGGGCTGCGCCTGCTGCTGCCGCCCCTTCCACACCCTCCTTTTCCTCCCCCAAGAACTCGGAGTTCTCCCACAATAATTCAGCTACCCCCAAACACCTCTGAATTGTCCCAAATATTCTGGGCGAAACTGGGGGGTTTTAACTCTTTGCTCACTTCCCGCTGAGCAAGGATGTGGCTGCAGCAGCAGCGCAGAGGCAGAAGGGCTGCGAGGAGAAGGGGAGACGGTGCTGGCGACCCCCCACCCAGGGAAGAGCAAAGCTACTGGGACGCTGGAGGAGGCACAGACTGGGAGCACTGGGAAGGGGCCCTCCTGCACAGCCACGGGACACGGCCAGCTGAGGTCACCCCACGCCCACGGCTGCTTTTGGCTGCTTCTGGGGGGCTTCTGCAGCAGCCCCTTCTTGAAGGGTCAGGAATTGGGGGGCACCGGAAACCCCCTTCCTTGAAAGCAGGGCAGAGGATGTAAAGGGGCTCCAGCCACCCCCCTCCCACCGCCAGCACCCCACGCTGCCAGGGCTGGAGGGAGAAGACCCCGGGGGGCAGCCGCCCCCTCCCAGCCGTGTCCTCCAAGGCTCCCAAAGCCAGGATGGAAAGTGGCCCCGGGGGCAAGGAGGGGAGGGGACAGGGCTGCCTCCAGCAGGAGAGAAACACCCATCACAAGTCACAATGTTTTATTAAAAACAGTACAAAAAACATCAACAGTATCTCCATTTGTATTTTAACTCTCAGGGGAGCCCCACAAGGGCCACTTCACCCCCTGGCTCTGTAGCCCCCCGGCCCTGCACAGGGCCAGGGACCCGCACTGAGCTTTCTGTGCCCACCTCATGTGGAAGCAGCTGCTCCAGCACCAAAGCCACAGCTTAAAAGAAGCCTTCTGTGATGTCATTTTGGCCGAATTGGCCAATGACAGGAGGAGAGATGATATCCCCCACCTTTCACTCCAAGGAGAGGAGGAGGAGAGAGACAGATTTATGAGTTAAGAACAAACTAAAATGCTTTAATAAATAAAATTAAAATAACGAAATAGATGCAATATATACAGTCATATCAGGGTCCCAGGATGAAGGCACTGCCAGCACTGGACAAGTCCCAGACTGGACTCTGCCATGGAGAGGAACTGGATTTCTGATCTGGAGTCAGGAACACAGGGATAGGAATCAACAGCAGTCAGACAGGGTCCTCCTCAAATGTCAACCACCAAAGAAAGAGCTGACTCTTTGATCCCTCAGCTTTTACACCGAGCATGGGGCAGATGGGATGGAACACCCCTTTGGTCAGTTTTGAGGCCACCATCCTGTCTGCTCCTCGCCACAGCAGTGACCCCTCTGTGCTCTTCTGCTTCCCACCCTCCAGTGGGGCAAAGAACAGTTACCTTGGTTGTTAGAGCAGTGAACACAAGGAAGAGCCTCTCTGCAGCCCATCCCTTGGCAGGAACTAACAACATCGGTCTAATCTGTTTAATATTTAAACAGGATTTTCTTACACAATATGCAGGTAATTTCAGAAAGCAGAAGAGGAGTAGCTAAGAAATAAAATGACTGAAGAGAAAGTTGGTTCTGTTCTACCTCACACCAGGACAATATGACTCGTAGCACAAAAAAGAAGACTTCTGGGATGGTCCCAGAGAGAAGGAAAGAGAAACCAGTTCCATGGTGGGGGTCCCAGCCCACGCAGGCACACGGCAGCTCCCACCACAGCTCCCGACCTGCAGGTTCATCTCCTGAGAGCTGGCAGCGAGTTTCTGCTGAGACCAGGAGCAACCAGAGCAGCAGCTGAGGGAAGGACATCCCTGCACCACTCTGTGCTGCTGGAAGAGGGGAAGCTGTGAGTCCCCACCACAGAGAAGGGCCTTTCTCCACCACTTCTGTCAAGCGCTTCTCACTAGAGTATAGGTTTGCTGCAGAGATAAGGCCGTCTCTGGGAGCAGCGGGCACTCAGGAGATCGTGGTCATTCAGGAACAGACATGGCTCTTCGCCCATCACTGGGATCCTGCAAGAAGCAGCACAGACACCACTGGTACTGTGGGGTTAGAGGCTGTCCCTTCAAGCCCCAGGAGGAGACAAGGGCTGCCTGCAAGGGACAGCCCCAGCAGACACCTCCCACCAGGACCCTGCCCGTCCCACCACAGGACTCTCTCCCCACGGCCCCGGCTCCCAACAGGACTCACGTCTGGTTGAAGCTGCTGCCGTCCACCCACTCCAGGTGCTCGCCCCGTCTCCGCAGCCCAATCCAGGGATCCATGTCACCTTTGAGGCGTGAGAGGAACCACTGGGCAGGAAAGAGAGAAGCCAACAGTCAGGAGCTGCTGCAGCCCCACGCCAGTCCCCAGTCCCTGTCCCAGCCCTGGGATGGCAGCAGCTCCCACCCCACACCTGCTCCAACAAGCTCCAGAGCTGCTGCAGGAGATCACCAGCCCACACAGTGCTCCTGGTCCTGCTCTGACACAGCTCTGCTCCCACCCCACACTGCACCCAACACAGGAAGTCCCCCAAACCCCCACACACCCACAACAGCCCCTCACTCACCAGTTCCCACTCCCTCCTCAGCACGGCCAGCGAGGCCCCACGCGAGGAGCACTGCTCCTGGCTCCACTCCCAGCTCCCCTGGTCCCTCGAGAGGTAGTAGCAGACATTGTGGTACCCGACCCAGCCATCAGGACACGCCAGCACCGGAGCCACAGGCACAGCTGGATCCCCTCCACATGTTCTTGCTGGAGAGGGAAGGGGAGAAGGGCAGAGGATTGGGCTGCGCAGGGACCAGGGGACACAGCTCCGTGGGGCAGGGAAGGAGGCAGCTGCTCCTCCCTTACCTGAGAGCACAGCAACAGCCACGGCCAGAGCCAGGACCAGAGCCACCAGCACAGACACCACCAGGACACACACTGGGAGATGACAGAGAATGTGATTCAGTACATCATGGTGGGTAATTGTGGTCGCTGGCACTAGGCGCGGCTCCTGCAGAGCAGCCAGGAGGTCACGGTTCATCACACCTCAGGAAGGTGATGCCAGGGAAGCCCTGCCCTGTCCCCGCTGTCCCCGGGATGCTGCAGAGCAGCCAAGAGGTCATGGTTCATCACAGCTCAGGAAGGCGATGCCAGGGAAGCCCTGCCCTGTCCCCGCTGTCCCCGGGACGCTGCAGCCTGTTCCCAGCAACTGGGGAGACAAACGCAGACTCGGGGAGCCCAGGGACCAGCCCTTGGACCCCAAGAGGACCAGCAGCCTCCTTGCTGAAGTCAGGGCGAGGGACACAGTGAGGCAGATCAAGGAGGGAGGAACAGACACAGATCTTCCCATTTCCCTGCAGCCCAACTCCTCCAGCCGAGCCCTGCACCCCGGGCTCCACCAGCCAAGGCACAACTGCCCCCCAACCCCCAGCAGCTGCTGGAGCCCCAGCTCTCCATCCCGGCAGGGAAATGCCACCGCCCGGCCCAGGAGAGCGGGCAGAGAGGCTCCGTCTGCACAAGGGCACCGGGCTGCTCCCTCCAGAGCTCGGCCAAGGGCTGGGCAAAGCAGCTCCCCCAGACCGGCACCTCCGGCCACGGCAAACAAATAATGAATGAGATTCTGAACGAGCATTCGGCTCCCTGCCAGCAAATACTGAACCATCTCCTCCGCGCAACACCTCCTCGAGTCGGGGAATAGAAGCTCCAGCGTCCACACAGAGACGGGGACTGTGCAGGGGAGTACTGGAGCTGATCCCCCCCCTGCCCGGGAAAAGCCCCGGTGGGATCAGAGCCTCCCAGGAACCCAGCGCAGCCCGAGGGAGCCCCGGGGCCAGAGGCAGCGGCGGAGCCAGAACTCAGACGGGAGGGATCCGGGCAGCAGCGGGGCCCTACGGGGGTTGCGG